CCTGCCTTAGTCCTCTGTTGGACAGCAGGGGGAGACTGTAAACAGATCAACTAACAGTCAAGAGAGCCTGAGAAGGTAGTTTTTGTATTATTTTGTTTATATTAACAGGGAGAGGCAGGAAGTTGCTTTAAGCTAGCCAAGAAATGTGTTTTACGAGTCATGCTTCTTAGAACATGTACCTCTAAGAACAGGGTCTGGTGGACAGATGTTTCAGAACAGACTGCCCTTCCCTTTTAGGATCCTCAGTATTCCTGGAACTCACAGGCTTCATTTCTGTAGAGTCTTGAGCTCCTGCTTGCTCTGTCCTGGGAACAGTGTGGGCTTCTTGGAGCATTGCTGTAGCAGTATGCTCACTCAAGGGCTCTACAAGTCTTTGCTTTCCTGAACTTGTGATGGGATGTCATGGTGTTTAAGAGCTGCTAATTATTTCTCCTGATACTCTGGGACTTGTCGAGAGCTGAGATTGGGATGTTATTCCCAAACTGATGATTTTTCCCAATAGACAGTAGACTGTTGAGATAGATACTTAAAATCTTGTTAGTTAGAAATTTGTACTTAGGCTCCATGAAGGCCTTGGTAGAATTTGTTGAGTTCCAGGGATCTGTAAGGTAGGCCATGCGGAAGGGAATGTGCTGTTTATTTTGTTCTTTTCTGAAATTTCTGTTCTTGTAACCCTGAGGCCTGTGATCAAGTACAATCAACCTCTAATACCTTCTTGGTGCTCTAGGAATCCATAGGGTGAGGAGAGGGAGTACAGAGTTGCTGACTGAGCCATAGAGGATCAATGAGGTGTAGATAGCTGGAAAGGCTAATGGGTTAACAAACTCCTGGCTGTCCATCTCATCATTTCCTCCTTTTCCTTACCAAAACTCCCGCATTCCCCCTAGCAGCTCGATGTGTCAGGTGCTGCTGAGGTATGGGCAATTATGAAGCTGTGTAGAGGACCCAGTTCAAGGGAAGAGACTCCTGGTTCAGGAGATGAAAGGGAAGGTGAAGCCTTTATAGTCTATTGCTCCTTTTCTTCTTTTCCTGCCACAAGATGAAGAAACAAGCCCGGAACCCTGGTATACAACTTTAATCCCAAAACTTAGAAGGCAGAAGCAGTGTGATTCCCCATGAGCTCCAGACAAGCCTGATTTACATAGGAGTTGGAGGCCAGCCAGGGCCACATAGTGAGACTGTGTCTCAAAAACAATAGACTAACAAACATACAGACACATTTCCCCGTGAGCACTGTGATGGAAACCATTAATAGGCCCAGGCTCCTGCCTATTCCTTAGCCTTCATTCTGTGACTTCATTTAATATCTTTTCTACAGTATACATGTTGTGACATGGAATGTGGCCTCAGCAGCCCCCACTGTGGACCTCAGTGACCTACTTCAACTGAATAGCCAAGACCTGAATCTGGACATATATATCATTGGGTAGGTATCCAAAGGACCCCTTGGCCCTCCATCTCTGTAGAGGGCTGATGTAACCTGACCTCCCTTCATTTTGGAGTATGAAGGTGAGGAGCTTTCATCCTCATCGGGTTTAGCCTCATGTGTCTTGGTCCTGGGTCAGCAATGGTCATGGATTGAAGATCAACAGCCACACCGCTAGGGAAGGGAGAAATCTTGGTCATCAGATCCTAGGTTTGAAAGTCTGATGAAGCCAGTACCAGATGTCTGTGGGAGAAGCAGTATCCTCCAGGCCTGGGAATGAGCCTGACTTGGAACGGTCAGTTTGCAGGAAATGAATTCTGGAATCATAAGCCTTCTTTCTGATGCTGCTTTTGAAGACCCATGGAGCACTCTCTTCATGGATGTGCTTTCCCGTCTGCACTTTGTCAAGGTAAGTTAAAAGTCTGTGGGCAATGGAGGAATGTGTGTCACCTTCACTGTCCCCCAATTGCTTGTATGGTGTGTTTCTCTTTTTCCCACTCAGCTCATTGTCTTCTGTGTTCCTCTTTCTTCCACTTAGCTTTTCATGCTCTTTCCCATTCATTAAAAGGTTTAAACCTCACACCACGCTTGGATCCGCTGGAACTCCTGCCCGCCTTGTGCTGTTCCAGGTTACCTTGGTCTAAGCTATGAGTCCAGTCCAGGGGTTAGTTTCACACCTAGATATCTGTCACCTTAGGAGAATTCCTAGTGGAAATGCTATAGGGCTCATTTACATCTTGGTGCCTATTCCTGTCCCACCCTCCAGTCTCTACTTACTGCCCAGCATGAAATCTCCAAGTATAGTAGTACTTGCTACAAGTCATGGAGTGCTCACTCGGTGCTAGACATTGTAAAAAGCTTTTTTTTTTTTCAAAGATTTATTTATTTATCATGTATACAGTGCATGCCAGAA